GCTCTTCACTCTGCCTTGCAAGACCTCCTTACTCCCAGTCTGGCTTCAACTCCTCTCCCCTGCAGTGAGTGCCAGCATAAACGCCTTCTTCCTGGACCTTCTTGCCTGTCGCCGCCACCCATCGCCAGCCAGCCACTTGTCACTTGTGATTACTTCTTGGTGCCCTGGATGCTTCCCTCTCGGGGGTCATCATCATCATCAACAACATCCGGTTCACTTAGCCAAAGTCAGCCTTCCTTGTTTTCTAGCACCGCAGGGCAGGTCTGTGCCACCTTCATATTGTACGTCCAGTGCATTTGTCACCCTAAAGAAACAGCACACACACAAACACAAGGAGAGAGACAGAGTTGGTGGAGGGGGCAGGTACAGAGGGTGTCACTGTGGAACAGTGTTTGCAGGGCGAGTGTGACACCCCATGTACAATCCTGGCCCAGTGGCATCCGTCTACAACCCAGACCCCGGGAGTTCAAAGTCGCCCCCAGCTATATGGGATGCATCCAAGGCTGTCTAGGCAAGCCAGCCCCGTCAAATTGACACCTAAAATTAACATGACCCCCCCCAGACCAGAACCACAAATCTGTCAGGTTAAAACAAAAACAGAAGAGTCACACAGTCTGGGGTCATCTCCGGGACCCTGTGGTCCTGAGGCTGGGTTCTCTACGGAAGTTCCCTCCTCTCAGATGACTCTAGCCTGTGTGGGTGGAACCAGCTCAGGGAGGGAGAGTGTGTGGAGGTCAGTGAACAAGCTTGTGGCAGTCCTCAGCTTCCACCTTGTTTGAGGCAGGGTCCCTTGCTAGCTTGGGTGCACTCCAGTCTAGCTGGTCCATGAGCTTCAAGAGATGCTTCTGTCTCAACGCAGGTGTGCTGAGGTTGCAGGCAGCTGGGTCGACACACATTCTCAACGTGTGCCCACGCTTCTGCGGCAAGTGCTTTACCTCTGGAACTGTCTTCCCAGACCAAAGTCGTTAGTTTAAGAAGGAAAGTTTGCCTAGGCTCTCAGCTCATACCTGGTCCCCCTGAAGAACTCCCAAATGCCACCAACCTCTCTGATTACGGCCAAGCTAATTCCCTAGTGATTAAAGACCATTTTCTTAGCTCCTGAAATAAACCCTTTGATGTCTGGCCAAAGCCCTCCCAGGAAAACTCTCTCTGAAAGACACACATACATTGAAAGCTTGTCTTCCTTGGCCAACAGGCATCCATCTTCATTTCCATAGCTCCTGTTACTATGACAACACAGAGCTTCCACCCACAGAGCTTTTGGGATTCTGTATGAATCAAACAGACATGGAGGGCTGTAGCCCCTCGGCCCGGCAGCCCCCACGTCGCTTCAAGCAGATGAAACAGAGGGTGTAGAGAAGCAGGGGTCTATGGGGTGGGCTCCTCTGGGGCCTCACTGCACCCTGATTTACCATCCCCAAGCAGGAGGGGAAGAACACTAATCAGGGCTCTCAGGTGAGGCTAAGAACACAATTGACCACCTGAGCCAGTCTCCACGCCAACGGGACTGCGCCTTTAGGTTTTCTGGCCATTTAAAAGTCGTTTAGCTGGGAAAGACTCATGCACACACAACTCTGGGAGGCGGTGACCAGAGGCAGTTTCCTGTGCACTCAGGTAAACCCCCATCCCTGCAGAAGCCCCAGGCCTGGATCAAGAAGACTTGACCACTGGGCAGAATGGCTGCTGGGCCTGAAGAGGTGTTCAGTGTTCAGTGAGAGGCTCCAAGAGGGCCGACTGCCCTTTTCTCACAACCAGTATCAGGGGGAAGCCTCCCACATACCCACAGCGCAGGTGACAGACCACGTGACTTCCAAAGCTGGGTTGTAGATGGCACTACCCAAAACACACTCGGGAGGCAGAGGCAGACAGATCTCTGTGAGTTCAGTGCCAGTCGGAGCCACACAGTGAGATCCTATCTCAAAAATAAAGACCGTGGACTTGTTTTTATTTCACAGACAGGGTTTCTCTGGACCAGGCTAGTCTCAAACTCTGCCTGCCTCTGCCTCCAAGTACTGGGATTAAAGGCCCGCGCCACCACTGCCTGGGTGATATTGCACTCTTAGGCCATTCCTGCTGGGATGTCCAAGCCCCGGACACTGCAGGGCACAATGAATCTTCCCTAATAGTGAGGGATGCCTCCATTGCCACCGTCCAGGGACACATGTGGGAGGCCTCAGCGGTCCTCTAGAACCTCGACTTCTGCCTCCTCTAGCAAAACATGGCAGACATGCAGAGATGCGAAAGCTTGTGTTTGGTTTGGTGTTTCATCATGGACACAGTTTCCATGCAGCCACTTTCTAGGTTCTTTGTCGTGTGTCAAGCATAAAAAGTAAATAAAAAGCCTAGGAGCGAGGCAAGGAGGCGATTCTACAATTCTACCTAATACAGGGTGCTGAGGACGGAGAAAGCAAAACTTTCCGATATTGCTTCAGGGACCATATTTAGTGCATTCGAGGCAGCTGAGTGCAGAAAGAAAACATCGCAGCCTCTTCCTCCCGAGGAGGGATTGCAGGAGGAGAGCCATTGCAGGGGAGCTACAGCCCCCTGGCGTCCATACAGCCAACACGCTGCTGCTCTGATGCTCCCAACCATGTGGTTTGGGGTTGTGGTGTTACATTTTAGAATTTTCTACTCCACATATTTTGATCATGTTCCCTCCCTTTCCCTGTAGGTGTTCCAAGATCAGCTGCTCTCATGTCTGTGGACATGCCTACTGTTTAAAATCCTGGAAACTCCACTGAACAACCCAGGCAGGATGAGTCTTTGAAAAGAAAGGCTGCACAGGGGTGCTGTCGAGTGTCAGGCTGCAGGCAGCATGAGACCATTGGATGAGAGCTGAGAATCTCAGAGGAACACCTGCATCTGCCCTCGTCCCCACCCACCCCCAGTGTCTCTCTCGTCAGCAGGGCCCTCAGAGTTTCTGGATTTGCCTCTGGTAACCGAGATTCGTTAGAGGTTATTTATGTTGGCCTCCCAAGAAGCCCAGGAGAGAGGAGGGCTTTAAACGTGGCACACGCCTTTAATCTCAGTACTGGAGGGGAGGGGAATCTCTGTGAGTTCGAGGCCAGCCTGGTCTATAGAGCAAGTTCCAGGGCAGCAAGGGGTACACAGAGAAACTCTGTCTCAAAGGAGGGGGAGGTGATGATTTAAAAAAAAAAAAAATGGCCATTTTAAGTCTGAGTGCCTCTGCCTGGCAACTTCAGAGGGTAAGTGACTTGCCCAGCATTGGAACAGCCATCAGCCTGGCCTGAGAGCCCTGCAACTGGCCCCACCCCTTAGTTGCCTCCGCTGGAAAAGGCTCTTACAATGAATGATTTACTACTTAGAGCATGAGACTGAACCCTCAGGGGATCCTGAGAGAACTGCAGAAGACAGAGGTTAAACATAAGAACCACTATGCCAAGCCAGGCAGTGGTGACACACACCTTTAATCCCAGCACTTGGGAGGCAGAGGCAGGTGGATCTCTGTGAGTTCAAAGCCAGCCTGGTCAGAGTGAGTTCCAGGACAGCCTCCAAAGGTACACAGAGAAACCCTGTCTCAAAAACCAAAACAACAAACAAACAAACAAAAAAAAGAAAAGAAAGAAAACCGCACTATGCTGGCTAGTATTACGCCAACCTGACACAAGATAGAACCAGAGGTTCTCAACCTTCCTAATGCTGTTGCTGTGACCCTTTAATACGGCTCCTCGTGTTTTGGTGAGCCCCGATTATAAAATCATCTTCGTTGCTATTGTATAACTGTAATTTTGCTGTTATGAATCATAATGTAAATACCTGATATGCAGGATATCGGATCTGCAACCCCTGTGAAAGGGTTAGTCTACCCCCACCCCCGCACCCACCCACCCAGGGGTCATGACCCACGGGTTGAGAACGGCTGTGCTAGAGTTGTATGGAAGGAGAGAACCTCAGTTGGGAAGATGCCTCCTAAGATCCAGCCGTAGGGCATTTTCTTAATTAGTGGGTTGGGGGAGGGCCCCACCAACTGCACAATGGGGCAGCAGCCCACCTTTCTTAATTTTTATGAAACGTTTAATCTTATGCTTGAGTGCATACACAGGAACCTGGAGACAGGAGCCGATGCAGAGGCCATGGAGGGAGCTGCTCACTGGCTTGCTCCTCATGGCTTGCTCAGCCTGCTTTCTTATAGAACCCAGGAGCACCAGCCCAGGGATGGCCCCACCCACAAGAGGCTGAGGGCATAATCTGAATCTATGGGCCCACTAACTCCTCCAAGCGGGCGTTCCTGGGGCAGGTCCCAGGTACTTCCTTCTACTGGGTGGGTTAACAGGGAGGCTTCAGCTCTGCCCCACGGAAACCCTGTTTGGTAGCCGGAAGGTCACAGCAAACAGCCACACAGAATGCAAACTAAAAAGGTCAGGGAGGGCGTGGTGCATCAGAAGGATCTCTGCGAATATCTGGGCTGCACAGTGAAAGAGACTCTGTCTCAAAAACAAACAGCAATAAAAAAAGAGGGAAAAAATAAATAAAACTGTTAGAGGGAACGAGAGAGGAAAGAAAACGGACAAACTCTGAACCCGGGGCTGAGACGTGGAAAACGCTGGGTGGCGTGGCTGCTGCCTTTGCATACCAGGGAAACTGAGGCACACCAAGTCCAGGCGGAGCCCAGGGAAAGCGAGCAGTTAGATGCCGGGGAGCGGAGGCAGGACGCGAGCGCCCCCTACCGGCCCAGCGACCTAGACTCCGCCCCCCGCCGCTTATTGGCCGCTGCCGGCACGCGACGCGCAAGGCGACAGCCAATAGGAGCGGCACACGGCGCGTCTTTCCCGGGGAAGGCCGAGGCGAACTCGAGAACCCGGAAGCGCGTCGGATGGACAGGTGGAAGGAGCCAATCCGGGGCGGCGAGGGCTGCGAGCCGTCCAATGGCGAGGCTCCGGGGGCGGGGCCGACGGCCGTAGCAGCGAGGCGCGGCCGCGCGGGCTTAGATGGTGCGGCGGCCGGGCGCGAGCCGTGGGGCCGGCTCTCGGGGGGACCAGGCGGCAGGCCTTGCGCCTCCCTGTCCCAGCCTCAGTTTCCCCCCTTCGGGAGTAAGCCCGGCATGCTGGGCTGGAGCAGCTGCAAAGGCCGCGCGCAGTGATGACGTGGCGGGTAAGGCCCTCGAGCCCCGCGCCGCCTGCCCGAGCCGCGGCGTCCCTGTGCTCAGTAAACCCGAGCTACAGGTGGCTCGCTCTCCGCGGGGGGCGCTGGCAGGATGCAAGGCCAGCGCGGTGCCCGCCACCCCATAGTTGCCCAATAAACGCTGATTGTTGTTGGCAAGATGGCGTTTGCACACCTGGCACCTCGCTGCCCCGCCCCGGCCCGGCCCGGCCAGCCCCAAGCTCGAGTCCGCCCTTACTGAGGTGGGGACATCACCCTGGGCTCGCGGCCCATGGTGGACAAGCCAGGAAAGGAAGGGCAGAGGGGACGCAGCACTGTGGGCACGGAGGCGGCGTCCGCGCGGTAACAACCGGGAGACCCGACCCTTGTGCTTACGGGGACCGTGGGGTGCGTGCGTGCGTGTGTGTGCGTGCGTGTGTGCGTGCGTGTGCGTGCGCGTGTGCGGGACGGGCGGCCCAGACGCTGGGCGTCCGGCGGCAGCACACCCCACACTTTGTAGCGGTGAAGTACAACCCCCTCCCAGTCCCCGGTGGATTTCAAGTCTGAGAAGTAACCGGCTTCACTTGTCTGAGCTCGGTTCCCCATCTGGAGGGGCCCCGGGTGGACACGTCACCTCCTGGGGTTACGTCTGCTGTGGGAGTATATATAATGTAGATGATGTAGATGAATAAATAGCATATATATGCAGTGCATGACATTTCCCAGGAGGGGCTAGGAGTTAGTATAAGAGCCTTTCCAGGCTGACGCTCCCCCAGGAGGCCCCTTAACTCCCCCTGGTCCCTCGTGCATTAGAAGCTGTGTGTCGATTCTTCACACCTGCCACTCCATCATTATTGGGAACAGGTCCATATCCCCGCCCCCCGCCTCAATCTCTACAATGCTTGGTCCCTCACAGATCCTGCTTTCCCTGAGTGCTCCGGGCCCAGCCCCTAGTCCAGATGACACTCATGCCGATGGCTTCGGTGATGGCAGTGGCTGAACCCAAATGGGTCTCGGTCTGGAGCCGTTTCCTGTGGCTGGCACTGCTGAGCATGGCTCTGGGGTCGCTGCTGGCCCTGCTGCTGTCACTGGGAACGATGGAAGAGCAGTGTCTGGCTGTGCTCAGAGGCTTCCACCTGCTCAGGAGCAAATTGGACAGAACCCAGCATGTGGTCACCAAGTGCACCAGCCCATCCACAGAGCTCAGCGTCACCTCCGGGGACGTGGGGCTGCTGAGTGTCCAGACGAAGCCATCTGCAGGTGAGCACGCAGCCGCCCCCTCCCCCCCCCCCCAGTGAAGGCACGTTTGTAAAGCACCTGTGTGTGGAGTGCCCCGCGGTGGTAACTTGAGAACTGGCACCCCAGTGTGTGGAGGGAGGGAGACACAGAGGGTGGGGCTCTCAGTGGGAGTGGTTCAGGGGGAAGCGCCTGAGAACGGGGCCTGGAACTCAGGGAAGCTGGGTGTTGAGTGCTGACCCTCACAGGCAATCAGAGCCCAGAAGAGGGCTGCACTGAGTGAGGTCCCTCCACCAGTGTGCACGGTGACCCCCAGTGGTGGTAACTAGACATTACCACAAACTAGGATCATATTAAAAGCAGTCCAGACCTGGGTCCCATCCCCACAACTGTCAGAAATTAAAAACAGTGCGGGCATGGGAAGTCCCCGGGATTGGCCGAGTGGAGGTGTTGGCATCCCCAGGTCTGAAGGGGAGGGGCTCAAGACATAGGGCCACATGACCACGGGGGGGGGGGGGGGGAGACAGACACCCAGAGCTGCTCTTACCGAGGTAAGCGCCCTGTGCCCATGTCCAGGCAGTTGGCAGAGGGACCCAGCTGGTGCCTGCCAGGGTATAGAGTGGCTCAGGCCAGCGTCCCACCCCTCGGGGCTGCGTGACAGACCCTCCTCAGGCCTGTCTGGCTGTCTCCCAGCAGGGAGGCTGGAGGCCAGGGCAGCCCTGAACCAAGCCCTGGAGATGAAGCATCAAGGCAAGAGGGAGAAAGCCCACAAGCTCTTCCTGCACGCCCTCAAGATGGACCCCGGCTTCGTAGACGCGCTCAACGAGTTCGGCATCTTCTCGGAAGAGGAAAAGGACATCATCCAGGCGGACTACCTGTACACCAGGGCACTGACCATTTCACCCTTCCATGAGAAGGCGCTGGTCAACCGGGATCGGACACTGCCGCTGGTGGAGGAGATCGACCAGAGGTACTTCAGCATCATCGACAGCAAAGTGAAGAAGGTCATGTCCCTCCCCAAGGGGAGCTCCGCCCTGCGCAGGGTCATGGAGGAGACCTACTACCACCACATCTACCACACGGTGGCAATTGAGGGCAACACCCTCACCCTCTCGGAGATCAGGCACATCCTGGAGACCCGCTACGCCGTGCCAGGGAAGAGCCTGGAGGAGCAGAACGAGGTGATCGGCATGCATGCGGCCATGAAATACATCAACACCACCCTGGTGTCCCGCATCGGGTCTGTCACCATCGACGACATGCTGGAGATCCACAGGAGGGTGCTGGGGTATGTGGACCCGGTGGAAGCAGGGAGGTTTCGGAGGACCCAGGTCCTGGTGGGACACCACATCCCACCGCACCCCCGGGACGTGGACAAGCAGATGCAAGAGTTCACGCAGTGGCTCAATTCAGAGGACGCCATGAATCTGCACCCGGTGGAGTTCGCAGCCTTAGCCCACTACAAACTTGTGTACATCCACCCGTTTATCGACGGCAACGGGAGGACCTCCCGCCTGCTGATGAACCTGATCCTGATGCAGGCGGGGTACCCCCCCATCACCATACGCAAGGAGCAGAGGTCCGAGTACTACCATGTATTGGAAGTCGCCAATGAGGGCGACGTACGGCCCTTCATCCGCTTCATTGCCAAGTGTACCGAGGTCACGCTGGACACGCTGCTCCTCGCCACCACTGAGTATTCCGTGGCGCTGCCGGAAGCCCAGCCCAACCATTCTGGGTTCAAGGAGACACTCCCTGTGAGGCCCTAACCTGCCAGCCCTCCCCTGGCAACAGGAGACGATCTCCGAAGAGCCCCTCTCTAGAAACATAGCTCTCCCCAGGAGCAAGAGGAGACACTTGACGTCTTTACCTCTTTACCTCCAGATGTTTTTTTTTTAGTTGAGAAAGGAAACTATATTATTAAGCCTTGTCTTTAGGATAATTTATACTTCAGCCGAGTTATTTATTTTTTTGAGAGCTAGCAGTGCCACGTGGTGCTGTGACTGTGGTGATCCCAGGGTCCTGCAGGGGCAGCCGGGCCCCTCTGATGTCCTTCCTGAGCCTGGGTTCTGGACAGAATTTTGCACTTAAGTGGGGCAGCGGGGCCAGATCTGTGGGACGAAGCCCAGAGCCACTCAGATGCCTTTGATGTCCCGTGACCAGAAGGCAGGCTGCAATCCTGGGCAAAACCTGCCCTGCTGTGTGGCAGGCTTTCACACCTGTGAGGCTGGCAGAGCAGCCCTTTGAGACAGGAAGCAGATGTAGCCATCTCCAGCAGGAAACTGCAGATTTCCAAAGACACCCCCTCCCCCACTCATTAACTTGCTAGCCTGAGTGGCAGGGGATGTTATTTTCCTAACCACTTCCAGGAGGAGGGCGGCCAGCTTGGCTTCTTGGCTTTTTCTTTCTACTGTACTTCATTTGCATCAAGTCAGACCAGATGTTTTAGCCGAGTTCCCCAAGCTTGTCAACCTGTTCGTCAGGCCATAAAGAGGTCTGCTTTCACTTGCCCTACAGTCTCCTGCAGGAGGACCCCAGAGGGCCCGGAGGCGAGGGTCGGTGGTAGAATGCTTACGTAACTCGCCCTGCTGCAGGCACCATCCCTAACATTAAAACCAAACACCAAAGAGCTCATCTAAGATACCACACCAACCCCAAATAAGCATCCCTGATAAAAGAATTAAAAGCTAGCAGACACCTGACCTTAGCCCAGACTGGTCCCTTTTGTCCTGTGTTTTTAAACCTCTTACCCCTATAAAGCCATCATAGGGTCCAACATCCCCTTGGGGAAGGAGAGATTGATTGCCTCAGAGTGGCCTGGCTTCCCTGATAATGTCATGCCCGACAAACGCCTTTCAAAGTCGTCATCTTAGAAAAAAATAAACTTTCCCAATCATATATGGCTAAGTGCCGATTTGACTGCTGCTATTCAGTGGAGTGGCTAGAAACCACTGGGCTTTGTTCTGAGGGAAGCCTGGGGTCCCTCACCACGCTGCACTTTTTCTTTCTTGAAGGATGGTAAATTCATACCAGGTGTCAAACTAGTGGGTAGACGCTGCCAACTGATGTACCAGTGTTTATACGACTCTTAGTGGCAGTTTGTGAGGGCCTGACTGAAAAGATGTGTGCATGCAGCGTCACCACAGCTCTGGAGGCCGCAGTGACGTGTCCCGCTGCAGCCAGCGCATGGCAGCACAGCCTCAGACGCCTTGCTTTTCTCCGCAGCATACCTAGTCTCACAGGGTGCTTGCTTGGTCCTGCACTTTAGATACACATGGGAGAAATTTTAACAACTTGCTGGTTCTAATAAAGTATTTTATTACATAAACACTGACTGCGCTGTCTTATTCGGGGAGGGAGTTCTGAGCTGCCTCTGTGTATCTTGTTCTGAGAACAGATCTCAGAAGTCACACCTGAGTATTGGCCTGCAGGACGAGAACCAGGCGGTTTCCGTGAGACCATCAGGGAAGCCACACAAACTCAGTGGGCAAGGCTTCGGTAAGAGAACTTTAATAAACAAAGCTAAGTGGGGATTCACTACGCTCGACATGGCATTTAGACACAAGGGTTTGGACAGAGGACATAGGTCTCCAGTCAGCGGGCAAAGAAAATGGTCCACAGCGGGTGGCACACACATTCCTATATAAACAAATGTCACAGACATTCGCTTTAGGGAACATAAAACAGTTGAGGTGTCAATTACAAATACATAATAGAAAAACTCACGGCCTCTTAGCACAAAAGCCCATCGAATGTGTTCTCTGCGATGCCCCACCCGCACTCACTAAATAGGCCATTCTGATGAGTGACAAGCATCTTCCGGTTTCTCTTCCGGAACAATGGGCACGTGCCGTGCAGGGCTGGGGAGGGTGGGGGTGGGGGGTTCGTAGAAAAAGGGCCAGAGGTGGTGAAAGTATCAGGACAACTGGGCCCCAAAAGCCAAGTCCCTGCTTGTTAGGACACTGAAGTACCTTGGGACGGCCTGAAAGCAATCGGCCTCCACCCTCAATATGAGGGAACACTCCTCACCGCCATGCTCAATGGAGGCGTTTCCTTCCTGTCTACATCAGAGGACAATCTGTGGGAGACAGGTGAGTGCCCAGCCCTTCTGTCTCCAGGGCCCGCAGTGGCCTGCCCGGCCAGCATGGAGGAGTAAGTAAGGCGTTTCCCATCTCCAGGAGCCCTCTTCACTTTCTCAGAAGCAACTTCGCAAAATCAGCATTGGACATCTTGGGAGCCTCGGTGGCCGCGGAGGTGGTGACAGCCGGCCCCACAGCAGGGCCATTCTCGGCCTGAGGAGCACTGTGGCATTGCAGAGCCCGAGGAAGAAGAGAGAGCTGGGTCCTTCCCTTCCCGCGCCTACAAAGAGCAAACACAGCGACCCTTTGGAAGCAGACTCAGCTGGGATTATCAGGCCAACTCAGAAGATGAACAACAGTAAGGACTAGGACTGGCCAGGCGTGCATTGAGTGTGAGCTCCAACCTCACACCAGGAAAAGAGCGCACGGGAACCACGAGACACCCTCCGCTGATCGCGGCCAGAAGCAAGAACACTTGAAACAAGCTGCCTTCTCTACAGCCCTGACAAGGAGCAGCCCTATGCCAAGTCACAGATGACAACAGTGGCCGCCATCACAGACCGCAAGGAGCCTGGCATTACCAGCTCCTTCTACCAGGTGAGCAGGACAGCCCAGCCTATGGGCGTGACAGCCGCCCTGCAGACGGCCACACACGTGGCCCCAGTTCCGCCCTGAGCATGGGTCAGTGACAAAGACCACACACACACATGCGGTGGTACCTGTGGCCCCAGCTCTGCAGGAGGCTACGGCCCTGTCTCAAAATTCCGTCAAAGCTAAACACTAGCTGGCTAGTTTTTTGTCAACTTGACACATGCTAGAATCATCAGGAAGAGGGACCACTGATTGAGAGTAGGCCTCCATCAGACTGGCCTATATGCAGTAATGATTAGTGTGGGAGGGCCCATTCACTGGGGTGATGCCGTCCCCAGGCCGTAGGTGCCCTGGTTATGTAAGAAAGCGGACTAGGACAGGTAAGAGTGATCTTCCAGGACTGGGGCTGGATTCCCGGCACCTGTGCAGTGGCTTGCAACCACCTGTAATTCCAGTTCTAGCGCTCTCTTCTGGGCTCTACAGGTACTGCACATACATGGAGAAGAGACGTTTATGCAGGTAAAATACCCACACATAAAAATAAAAAAAATACATCACTAGTAAAAGTGAAAGAAAGCAGGCAGGCAGGGTGAGGGGCTGGAGAGATGGCTCAGGGGTTAAAAGCACATCTCACAAATCACCCAGGCTCAATTCCCAGCACCCTAAGGCAGCCCACAACCATTTCTAACTCCACCAGTTCCAGAGATCTGATGCCCTCTTCTGGCCTCTGCAAGCACTGCACACATGTATTGCAAAGACATACAAGCAGGCAAGATACTCGGAACACATAAAATAAATGTAAATAACAAAAAAAAATTTTTTTAAAAGAAGCAAGCTGCACAGAGCATGGGGAGGAAGCCGGTAAGCTTTCTGTACTCCTGCATGGTCTCTGCCTCCAGGGTCCTGTATTGGCTCCCTGATAACGGTCTAACTGTAGGGGGTGACCCAAATAAACCCTTTCTTCCCCAGACCTCACCATGGCATTCACAAGGCCCTGGGTGCCACCATCCCCGGTGACACCAAGAAAAGGTGTGACCAGCAAAGACCACCGTGCCCCCAGGGCCACTTCCCTTTAGACGCTTGCTATGCACATCTCGCCCAGTGACGCCGGGGACCAGGAAGAGGAAGAGTAGCAGGTCCTGGCTTTTCTGACCCAACTCACTGATCTGCAGACATGGCTGCCCCACCCCCAGCACCGGCAGGGACAGACCTGCACAGAACCGCATGGACACTTACGCGCCATACATCTGCCGAGGCAGGAAAGGGGCCCCCAGGGCTGCCCTCACTTCTGGCTTCTCTGGAACCTTCCGCTGAGGGGGGTTGCTGATTGCCACTTTAATGACATTCTCTTTGATGGTCATGCCATCCATCTTCATCACTGCCTGTGATGCCTGGGACTCGCTCTCATACTCCACATAGGCCAGGCCCTGAAAGGCAAAACCCACAGCCGGGTCAGATAGCAAGGACCTGGCTTCCTTCAGGACAGCAGCCGTGGTAGGCAGGCAGCCATCAACAGTGACCTCCTGAATGTCACCAGCCTGGCTACAGATTTACTCCAGGTGGCTGTCACTAACAGGCAGCTCAAAAGGCCTCTCTGAGCTTGGCCCATGAAAAACAGGGTGAGCCCAGGAACAGGTTGGAGAGACACAGAGCAGACCACAGACGGTCCCTGTCCTTTGGCATCTCCCTTCCACAACACTTTCCAACTCTCCAAAGTGGGTGGATCAGGGTGTGACACATGAACCCAAATGTGTCACCAAAAGACCTCACAGGGCCACTCCTCAGCAAGAGACAGGAAGCCTGCCTGTGCCCCACTGACCTTCGGCTTGCCAGCCCTGTTGGTAACCAGCCTGAGGTCCTTCACGGTGCCATGAGCCTTACAAATGTCCTCAAGCTCCTCTTTGGTGCAGGAGAAGGGCAGGCCTGAGATGAAGAGCTTGTGTTTCTCCAGGGCGGTGCTGTATCTGAACACCTGAAGAGAGGCAAAGCCCACGGTTCAGGACAGCCCAGCCCAGCATATGGGTCCAGGAACTCACCCTGAGCCACTGCGCTCAGAGACTTAAGCAACAAAACCACTGGGCACCCCACCCCTGTAAAATGGCCAGAATGACAGCCATGCACTGAGCCCAGGGGAAGTCCCTCTTGCCATGCGCTCGAGAACCCAAGGGTAAGTAGCCGTCTTTCCACAAGCTAACTATACCCATCACCAAACCAAGAGGGGGCTCACAGTGGCCGAGCCCGAAACCCTGGCACACGGGCGCCTCAACAAGCCTTGCAACTGGCAGCGCATGGTGCTGTGTGGGCCGCAGGCACTGAGCACCACCCGTCTGGCAGCCCACCTTAAAGGCATCCTTTGTCCAAAACGTACCTTAAAATCAGGGTTTTTGCTCTTATCCACACAAGGGGAAACGAACATCGGCCTGCCTTCCACATTCTTCCTGTCCAGCTCCAAAGCCTGCTGCGCTGCCTTCTCCTCTGTAAACTCCACGTAGCAGTAGCCTCGGAAGCCCCCACGGTTGCTGAAGACCGGCCTGACCTGGACCACCTCCCCGCAGGCCTCAAAGAGTGGCTTGAGCTTCACCTCCGGCTCAGCCATGCTGTAGGGCAAGTTGCTGACAAAGACAGTGACCCTGTCTTTACTGCTATCGTGAGCCACCTTGGGCATGTCCAGCTTGAGGGAGGCTGCCTTCTCCTTCTGCTCCGAAGGAGGAGCAACGGCTATCGTTACACATTTCCGGGGGAGTTCCGTCTCTTCCTGCATGGCCGAAGCCACCCCAGAGGCCAGACTGTTCTCCACCCTTCTGCGTTTGGAAGGCTGCTCTGCACGCATTCAAAAGAGAAGCAGAGGCAGTTAACGTTTTATGAGTTCCTTCTGCATCGAGACATCCCCACACAATCGATCTGCGCTGTGTACGTAAGAGGTGCAGCCACCACGGCCACAATGCGGGGCCAATTTCTCCTCCAGCAAAGGCACTGGCTATGTATGTCAATGAAAAAACCCTGTCTCAAAAAGCAAGCAAGCAACCGCTCTTTTATCACAGGCCAGAGTGCTTCTGCATCCCACCAGCAGACATGGGCCAGGCCTGGGCAACTCCTACCACACCTCACGTCACAGGGCAGCTACACAGAATTCCAACTTAACTGTGACTTCACCAGTCTACTGAGACATGGAGACGGTGACAGCCGCGGATGACCGTATGAACCCTCACTGAGACGGGAGAGCACAGCAGTGACATCAGTGTGTGCTCACTCTGGGGACAGCTAAGGACACCACGTGCAATGGACCCCATGTGCAGGCCTCGGCTACGGTGCCAGTACCTTCCTCGTCCTCGGCCCACTCGCTGTCACCCTCCTCGCCCGCCTTGCGTTTGTCTGCACCGCGGGCCTTCCTCCTCTTTTTCAGGGCTTTCTTCTCGGCCCGCACCTTCTTCCGCTGTTCAGCCCTCTCTTCTTCCTGCTGCACTAGAGCGGCTTCCTTCTCCGCAGCCTAGAAAGAGGGCAGCATGTTCATTCCCAGGCGCCTGCCATGCTAGTGAAGACATGGGGACACACGACTCTTCATGCAACACGAGATCATATGAACACAGTGAGAGACTCGACTTTCAACAGCCTCGGCCACTACACAGCCGCAAAGAGGAAGCCCATTCCTGAAGGCAGGGCCCTGCCCTACCTCATCTCTGTGCTGGGACAGAACGGGCTGACAAAGGCCACTCAGGGGAGAGAGGGTTTATCTGAGCTCACAGCTGCAGGCTGTGTGCAGGTCTACTGTGGTGGAGGCCAGGGCAGGAAAGGAAGCAGCCAGGGCCACCCAGACAAGGGAAAGAAGGAATGCCCGCACGCCACGCTCAGATCACAGCCTCTCTTCATTGCAGAGCCCAGACACCCACACTCAACTTAGAAAATCCCTCACAGGCAAAGGCAAGTCAGGAACGCTCACGTTCCTCCCACAGGCCTATTGTGGTTCCCTTAAAAAAATGATTCTTCCAGAATGGCATCCATATAGACAACACATTTTGATCCCCCGTCTCCCGATTCATCTCGGATGTTGGCCGCCACATCTCCATCAAACTTCATTCGTTCCTTCCATTAAACCATTGACCAAGTCTAACTGGCAGCACTGGTATGTCCACAAGGGCATCCAGTGGAGGGACTGTGGCGATCGATCCCAGGCTGGGCCCTAGAAGCGAACCAAGGCTCCTCCCCGTAGCCATCAGGTGCCAACCGCTTCCAAGCATGAGGCTCCTCAAGCCCTCTGAGACCCTTCTATTTATCCAGTGCAGTCCATTCTTGTTAACTTGGACATTTTTGAAGACAGGGTTTCTCTGTAGCTTTGGAGCCTGGCCTTGACTCACAAATCCACCTGCCTCTGCCTCCCCAATGCTAGGATTAAAGGCCATTTGAAACTTTTTAGTGAATCTATAAGATGGCGAGGGATAAGTATAAATACTAACCCAAATGGTTTTTAGTTAGTGTCTTATGAGATGGCCCAGTGGTTACGAGCAACAGTGGCTCTTCCAGAGGACCCAGGTCCCCAGCACCCACACGGCTGCTCACAACAGACACTCCAGTATCAAGTGATCTGACACCCTCTCCTGGCCACCGTGGGCACTGCCCACACACACATCGTACACAGACATTCATGTAGACAGAACACCCACAGCCAACAAGGGGGAGGGGGGACAGTGCAGTCACAGTCACCTTCATCCTCTGCTCATTCACGCGAGCCAGGCGAGTTTCAGTTTTCTGAACAGCCACATCCCAGTCTTCTAAGGTCCCTGGGCAGAAAGAGGAGCAGAGCTCTGAGCCCTCACTTCCGGGCCGAGGCAGTGTTCCCTGCCCCCACCGCTCCAGAACAGACAGTTCCTGTCACAAGAACTGAAGTAGCTATTGCTTTAAGACAATGCATGTCATCAGGTGCCAGGCTGTAAGTCTAATAATCCTTCTGGCTTGCTACGCGTCCTTCCTCCTTCCAAAGACAGACTTAAAAGCAAACAAAAAGCTGGCTTTACAGGCTCTCAGTGGCAAAGAAACACTCCACAACAGAGAACACGTGAAACTCAGGAGCTCAGGGAGCTGCTCCTCTGTGCCACCATCTCTGTCCTGGGTGTCATCTGCAGGCTTCAGGTTCACACTCTAATCCAGACAGATGCCCATGGAGAAACCCAGTCTCCCCAAGTTCTATTGTTATGGCTAGGACCAACACCAAGAATCTTAAATTCCACATAAAGAACATGCTGAGCCCGCCTATCGAGTGCCCCGCCCTACCAGAGCTGCAGTTCGCATCCGGCCTGGGGACATCTGTTAGGAGTCCCTGGTGGCTGTGGTAAGGACAGCCACAGGTGCACCTGAGCCCCCTCCTGTGACTGCAGACTGCCCCAAGAGGACTCACTCCCACAGACAGGCAGCCAACCTGTCCTTACAGAGCAGAAGCAGAGGCAGGGTCCCACCTTCTGTCCTCTCCATGGTGAGCAGCACTTCGCAGACATGTTCAGGGTAGTCACTCGTGCACTGGACAGCTCGGTGCAGAGCCTTCCGGCAGTGCTGGGTGTCACCATGTGCCCTAGAGCAGAGAACAAATGGCTGCCACGAAGGCCCACAGCACACAACGTGGCAGGCTGCTGCTGGGACAGAAGAGCCCGGAGACAGAGCTTTCAGGAGACCCCCTCTGCACACGCTTCCCCTGCCGGGCAGGTGCACCAGGGATGCACCTCAGACCATGCACACGGGAGGGAACCATGCACCAACTGAATGCACCCTGCCCAGCTCCTACAGTCCATCAGAGGGCTCTGCACACTCAGACACAGATGGTGTAACTCCACGCTGAGTCAGCTTTTATCCTAACAGGTACAGATATGCTAATCACACTGGCATGAATGCATGTGTGTGCATACTCAAAACCCTCAGAGCAAATGTATGTATGCATGTATGTATGTATGTGCATACCCAAAACCCTCAGAGCCGTGGCAGCTCATGCCTGCCATCTTGGCAGGCACTTGGGGAGGCTGAGTAGGTGAGTCAAGGCCAAGGGAAGGAGGACAGACAAGGCCATGTTTGCGTCTTCCCAGTGGGTAGAGTTTAGTGAATTCAATCTACAATAGTCACAGCTTAGACACACACACCACCAACACACCACCAAGGAGCCCACCCTAACCCATGGGTAACACTAAGTCTGGACAGCGACTCCCTGCTAATCTGATGCTTCTCCTTTCTATTTCTAGAGTCCAAGCTGGCATGTTCAAAACCAAAAACAAAAAGCAAACAGCTTAGAAGGACTCCGTGGCTATAGGAGCCCACCCCCATATAAAACACTGATTCTCAAGACTTGGCAAACACAGATCCTGCTAAAGGAAGAGGCAGAGGATACCCATCCCAAGAAGCAGGCTCAAGTCACCTTGGGTACAGATGTCACCTGCCCTGGGTCACTCACCTTTCCAAGTTGTAATACTCCAGCCACATGTTGGCATACTTGGCATTTCCTCTGGTCATGATACTGTCCCAGAGTTCTCGAGCTTTCTGCATGTTATTGCACAGACGAGCCTAAAAGACATCAGCAAGGTCAGCCAGAACCCGGCCTGAGCCCTGTCACAGCACCCACACAGAACCCCATCACACAACACAACACCCACACAGAACCCCATCACACAACACAACACCCACACAGAACCCCATCACACAACATAACACCCACACAGAACCCCATCACAACACAACACCCACACAGAACCCCATCACAACACAACACCCACACAGAACCCCATCACACAACACAACACCCACACAGAACCCCATCACACAACACAACACCCACACAGAACCCCATCACACAACACAACACCCACACAGAACCCCATCACACAACACAACACCCACACAGAACCCCATCACACAACATAACACCCACACAGAACCCCATCACACAACACAACACCCACACAGAACCCCATCACAACACAACACCCACACAGAACCCCATCACACAACATAACACCCACACAGAACCCCATCACACAACATAACACCCACACAGAACCCCATCACACAACACAACACCCACACAGAACCCCATCACAACACAACACCCACACAACCCCATCACAACACAACACCCACACAGAACCCCATCACAACACAACACCCACAGAACCCTACAACACAACACCCACACAGAACCCTACCACAACACAACACCCACACAGAACCCCATCACACAACACAACACCCACACAGAACCCTACCACAACACAACACCCACACAGAACCCCATCACACAACACAACACCCACACAGAACCCCATCACAACACAACACCCACACAGAACCCCACCACACAACACAACACCCACACAGAACCCCATCACACAACACAACACCCACACAGGTGCCACAAACACTCTGCCCTGCCCATGACTGTGTCCCAAACTCCAACAGGCCTGAAGCCTGGTTGCCTGCCTCTCTGCAGCAGTGAGCCTCACAGGTCTGCACAGAGCAGAGGCCTGAACAGAGCCTGCAGCTCAGACATGCCCTGGTGTCAAAGCAGAGACTAAGGTTCCTTAGAGAGGTCTTGCAAACGTGAGGCAGAGCTTAACTGCAAATGTTTACTTGGAGGGCATTATTGAGGACACTGATCCAGCAGCAAACGCTAGCTCGACCACTACAAAGTCCCGTGATGTGAACTAGTAACACCACCTAAGTGCAGAGCATGCTTCCCATCCTTTAGAATTCAACAAGAATTTCATACAGAATTACCCAACAAGGTGAGTTTCGCTGACCCATTCCTGTCAGGGAACAGGACTGAATCTTACTGAGTTTTGTAATTCTACCTGTTTAGTGTCCCTGGCTCAGGAACTGCATCCATCTTCTGGACAAGGCTAACGCCTTCAGCACAACACTCACGGCACGCACTCAGTACACCCTCAAGCAGCAGGAAGGGTTGGGTCCACAGCCAGCGTCCAGGCACTGCCTCTTCATAAACCATCCTCTCAGATTCTGCCCCCAATTCGTGAATGCACTCAACCAAAGGCTTCAGGAGGGTGTGACAGGCCCTCAGAGGGCACCACAGGCCGTGAAGACGCTCACCTCCACCCGAGCCCAGCTCTGCATGATCACGCAGCTTGGATCTCCGCTCTCACTGAACCCTTCCAGAATGGAACAGAACAGTTAGGATAGGCATGAAGCAAACAACCTCCCTTCCCTCCCCCCACAGGGAGAGTGTGGGCGAGCAAGAGCCAGCGAGGCAACTGGGCAGGCGGCAGGGAGCAGGCTGCAGGGAGCAGGCGGCAGGGAGCAGGCGGCAGGGAGCAGGGAGCAGGCTGCAGGGAGCAGGGAGCAGGCGGCAGGGAGCAGGGAGCAGGGAGCAGGGAGCAGGCTGCAGGGAGCAGGGAGCAGGGAGCAGGCGGCGGGAGCAGGGAGCAGGCGGCAGGGAGCAGGCTGCAGGGAGCAGGGAGCAGGCGGCAGGGAGCAGGCTGCAGGGAGCAGGGAGCAGGCGGCAGGGAGCAGGCTGCAGGGAGCAGGCGGCAGGGAGCAGGGAGCAGGCGGCAGGGAGCAGGCTGCAGGGAGCAGGCGGCAGGGAGCAGGCGGCGGGAGCAGGCGGCGGGAGCAGGGAGCAGGCGGCAGGGAGCAGGCTGCAGGGAGCAGGCGGCAGGGAGCAGGGAGCAGGCGGCAGGGAGCAGGCTGCAGGGAGCAGGCTTCAGGGGGCAGGGAGCAGGCGGCAGGGAGCAGGCTTCAGGGGGCAGGGAGCAGGCGGCAGGGAGCAGGCTGCAGGGAGCAGGAGCAGGCTGCAGGGAGCAGGCGGCGGGAGCAGGCGGCAGGGAGCAGGGAGCAGGGAGCAGGCTGCAGGGAGCAGGCGGCAGGAGCAGGTGGCAGGGAGCAGGGAGCAGGCGGCAGGGAGCAGGGAGCAGGCGGCAGGGAGCAGGCGGCGGGAGCAGGGAGCAGGCGGCAGGGAGCAGGCGGCAGGGAGCAGGCTGCAGGGAGCAGGCGGCAGGGAGCAGGCTGCAGGGAGCAGGCTGCAGGGAGCAGGCGGCAGGGAGCAGGCGGCAGGGAGCAGGGAGCAGGCTGCAGGGAGCAGGCTGCAGGGAGCAGGCGGCAGGAGCAGGGAGCAGGGAGCAGGCGGCAGGGAGCAGGCGGCAGGGAGCAGGCTGCAGGCTGCAGGCTGGGCACTTACGCTCCTCCACCTCCTGCTGCAGATACTCCAGAGCACGTGTGAACATGGACCGCAACTCTTCCAGCTCCTTGCTAGAGTCTGTTGGAAAAGGTAGAGGAACTCATGAAGTCACCACAGCCACCATTTTACAGTCTCACACCACAACCATGGAGACCCACTGTGGGCACAGGAACCTCAGTCACACTTCCTCTCACTGTAGTAAATGACAGGAAGATGTGGTGGCGGTGATAAACACAGACGCTGCCCAGCAGGGACAGGCAGGTGGCATGGGGCACAGTGTAAGTCCATCGCAGTGTGAGCAGGGGCCCTGGGGATGGAGATCTAGGAGCATGGCAGTCTTGTTGGAAAAAAGAGTCGGAGCTTGTGGTGGTCGGGATCAGCTCCACAGAACCTAGAATTGGGGGGGACAGGGAGATGGGCCCCGGGCCTGCCTGTGATGGGTAACCTCGGCTACATTCACTGAGGAAGGCCCGCCCAGATGGACAGGGCACAGGCAGCACCTGCTCTGTCCTGCTCACCGTCCAAGTCCTGTGGCGGCTGCTCTAAGCTCCTCAGCCCTGACTCCCCAACTTGCTGGCCTGTGCCTTCTCCCTGGATGTCTGCCAGAGCATTTCTCACGGTAACAGAAAAGAAACTAAACAGGGCTCACGACAGGTCAGATAGAGAAAGTGAGGGGCTGCCGTGGCTGCCGGGAGCCAGCACCAACACAAGGCCTGTCACTCTTCCCAACAGTGTGACTCCAACGGGGACGCCAGTCTCCAGAAGAGACCTTCTAGCAGCAGGCCACGCACCAACCCTTCCCCAGTCTCAATGTGCTAAAGAACAGGGACGTATCTCCAAAGACGTACTCAGAAAACTAGCAGCAGCTGGGGATTGGGGGGGGGGGGGTGGCACAATCATAAAGCATGAGGACATGATCCCCAGCACCCCAGAAAAAGCCAGTGAGGTGACACGCCCCACTGCTGGGTCCCTGGTGCTCACTGACAAGCCAGCCAGGCTTAAGCTCAGGGTCAACCCGTGAGACACCCTGTCTCAAACATCAGTGCGTGACCCTGAGACACAGAACCAAAGGCTCCGCTCTGGCCTCCACACATGCCCTTGTGAGGACGCACGCACGCACGCACAGGGGACATGATGACAGAGTCCAGTTCCAAGGAGGCCCACATTCTACCTTGTCTGAAGTCAACCCTTCTCCTCAGGTAGTCTAGATAAACCTGCCAAATCTCCACGTAGTCAGTGGCCTGGATGAAGCCAGCACTCAGAGCATTCTCGAAGGTTGCTGTAATAGACAAACACAACTTTCACGAGAAAATTCAAAAGGAAATAAAGCCATCAAACCCGTAAGTATGTGGTTTATGCACTTATAAATTATGCAGTTATAAACGCACAAGCTGTAGATGTCTACCCTAGCATCACACACCAAAGAAGAAAAGCATAGACCCAGTGTGTGCACAGGACACCCCTCCAGCCCTACGCTCGGGGAGGGCCTGGTCTTCCACAGCGAGGGTCCCGCTCCCTAAGAAATTCAGTGAGTGCTAGAGGCCAAGGCGCTAAGGAGCCACACAGCCTCTGCCACTGCAAGGCAGGCCCTGGGGCACTGGTTCAAGCCTGCCACAGCTCTGTTCCTCACTTGGGACAAAAGGCTAGAGCTGCCAAGCTTGGTGGCTCATGCCTGTCACCCCAGCAAGCCTAGGCTCCACAGTGAACTGCATAGGAAGAATATTCCAGAAAATAAGAAATTCTTCCACACAAACTTTCACACCAGAAATCATTTGATGATCCACTCCATGTCTCTCCATGGCCAAGAGGTACCGAGTCCACAGGGCAACTGTCCAAGGGCAATTCCTCACAGCACGGCTGTGCACAGATAAAACCAAATCCTTTACTTTCAGCTGCCGATCCTGTGACAAAGAATCCCAGAGTGAGAGGACAGAACTGTAAGACATCCTCAGTGCTAGAGACTCAATGTAAACTCCCCCACAGGCTCGTATGCCAACACTTGGTACCAGCTGCTGGCACTGCTTTGGGAGGCTGTGACACTTTGGGGAGGCAGGCACGACCTGAGCAAATGGGTCAGGGAGAGAGGCGAGGGCCAAAGGGTTATAACCCGACGCCACACCCATACTGTACCCCCCTCCAATCCCTCACTGAAACCACGCAACCAGCATATGCCATTGCCAGAAGCACATCACCATAGCCCACACCATAATCACCACAGCCCACACCACCATCAATCACCACCCCCACACCACCATCACCCCCACACCACCATCACCCCCACACCATCATCACCCCCACACCACCATCACCACAGCCCACACCACCATCACCACAGGCCACACCATCACCACCCCCACACCATCATCACCACAGCCCACACCACCATCACCACCCCCACACCATCATCACCACAGCCCACACCACCATCAATCACCACAGCCCACACCACCATCACCACAGCCCACACCATCATCACCACAGCCCACACCACCATCACCACCCCCCACATCATCAATCACCACCCCACACCATCATCACCACAGCCCACACCACCATCACCACCCCCCACATCAATCACCACCCCACACCATCATCACCACAGCCCACACCACCATCACCACCCCCCACATCATCAATCACCACCCCACACCATCATCACCACAGCCCACACCACCATCACCACCCCCCACATCAATCACCACCCCACACCATCATCACCACAGCCCACACCACCATCACCACCCCCACACCATCATCACCACAGCCCACACCACCCCCACACCATCATCACCACCCCCACACCACCATCACCACACCACACCATCAAAGGGTGCACCCCCTCAGCCTCGGCCCTCACGCCGCCTCTGTCAAGTACTGGGTCATGGATGAGAAAGTGACTAATGAGCATCAGTGAGACATCCTGGAACGGCCAACTGATGGAAGAGATGCCTTTGAAATCTCGTGTGAAGCTGGGAATGCACAAGCTATGCCCTGTCATCTCGGCACTCAGGAGGCCGGGTTGTAGAATATAGTTTAAGGTGTGTTACTGTCCTTTATGCTGTGGAACATTTGTTCAATGATGCACAGTTGTGTTGCATTCTTTCATGTTGCATTTATTTAACAATGTGAAGCTGTGTTGCTCTGCCTGTGTAAAACACCTGACTGGTCTAGTAGAGCTGAATGGTCACTAGCGAGAGGAGAGAGAGAAACAGGCAGGGTGGCAAGCACAGAGAATACGTAAGAGAAATCTAGGCTTGAAGAGTAAGGGGGTCTGAGAAGAGGAGAGGGGGCCAGGCAGGGCCCAGCGCCCAGCCAGCCACTGAGTAAGAAGGAAAGGAAGGTATGCAGAGTAAAGAAAGGTAAAAAGCCCAGAGGCAAAACTTAAAGAGACGACGGAGCCGGCCACCCAGGCCATCAAAGCAAAGGGGGGGGGGAGCGGGTGGGGCACCACGCCCCCAGACACCCCTGCTTAAGAAGGCTCGAGCTTGGCAGGCACGGAACTGGGGCACATATCTTACTAGGTACCGACTGTAGCGGATCCACAAGTCTGGGACCAGGCAGTTCTCCACCAGGGCGCGCTCGAAGATCAACTGAATACGAGCGGGATCCCCAATTTTCATCTCAAAATCGATGTATGCTTGGTATTCCGCCAGCCTTGGGGCCTCTGCTTGCAACTGCAGTGAGGGAAATAACACTTGTTAATCTGGGTGCCTGACACTCTCCGAAATCACCTTCAAGTAATTCAGCGTTGGCAAGAGCAGCTAACCCCGATGAGCGCTGCCGTCTTCTTCCTCAGAGCTGCCCACAACAGGACAGATCTGTGACCCGTGGGCACCGGCAGCCTCCGCACGCCTGGCCCTGCCACCAGGGTCCAAACTCTTTTCCACAAGCGCTCTAGACCACGCACGACAGAACAGCACCCTGCTGATAACCGCTGCTCACATCCTTCCATTGTGGAGCAGTGAGGGCTCACACTGGCAACACAGGCACAGGCCAAAGACAGAGGGCGCCAGGCTGAGTGTTGCCAACCCGACACACGACACAACCCTCTTAACCCTTTCAGCCTGTCTTCTCTTGGGCAGCCTTTGCTGACAGCCACAGGGCACAGACAGCTTTGTGAACACAGTGCACACACATCGTTCACAGATGAAGGGGGGGCATGGCTTCTGCACACGGCATCAGTGTGCTTTGGAGACGGGTTTCCCATGGGTTAGCCATCGCACCACTGAGGGGACACGAGCCGCTCCAGTAGCCGGCCTGGCATGGATGGAGCTAACGAAGGCACAAAGCCCACTCAGGGTCAAGCCTCCGCTGACTGTAGCAATCTGACCCCCAAAACATTTGTAACAAAGAGGCAGGTCTCAGTCCTGTCCCCCCTTACCCAGGGGACTAAGGCACAGGAGTCTCAGCATTTACAGACTCAGAGCTCACAAGAGGCAGGGCTGGCACAGCCTGACTTTCAGTCTTCCTCACTGTGCTCAGAGAGATGCTGAACAAGACGGGGATGCTCAAAGAAGACAGGCAGGGCAGCCAGCCCCGCCTACGGCAATGGGATCACAGGATCAACTCAAACCAATGAGGGATTAAAGTCCCAGACAGCAGAGCCATCTGTGACAACAGAGACAGAGATGAGCTCTGTTGCCAAGAGCATCGTATCAGCGCAATGCTACCGCCTGAGGAAACGGCTGTCAGAGGGAAAAGAAAGACGGTCTGTCGGACACAAAATGGAGAACATTTGCCGCCAGTGAATCCCGGGTGCTGAGACAGACGGCACACATCCAACCGCCGGCTACAGGGTTCCAGATGCAGAGCCAGATTAAAAGGGAACACGGTACAAGGAAAGCAGCCCGCAGAGACTGTGGTACCCTGCTCACAATGTTGGTAACAGCGGCTGTCTGAGGAACTGTAAACAATCGCGTCTCGAGGGTCAAACCAAAAAGCAAGATAATTCAAGAAAGTGAGAGCACAATAAAGTGTGAGAACTGTCACCTACAGTTAACACAAAATAGCCGAAGACCAAAACTCCTATGTGAGCAAACGTGGTAGATTTAAAAAAAAAAAAAAAAAAAAAAAAAAAGATGTGAAATATCAATTGCATTCTTATTCGTCGAGAAATAACTAGGAAATAAAGTCTTTGAAAAGAAACCGCTCTGTCTAAAGCTTCCGCAGCAGTGAGTGCATCCCCAGGGCTGTCCCAGCCTCAGAGGAGACCTGCGGGTCACATGGCAGGAGATGGGAACGCCCTCAAACCGAGCCACAGATCTGTGCAACAGCAATCAGACGTCTAACAGAGCTCACAAGCTGAGCGCAGGTCTGACGGACATGACGGACATGCCAACAGCTGAAGAAAGCCAAGATCCCTGGGAGAGCGGGCTCAGTGAAGAGTGTTCAACTGTCACTACTACGACAGGACAAGCAGCAGCAAACTCAGTCACGGTGTCACCCTGTACCGCAGCAAGGGACACAGCTGTCATAGTTGGGCCCCAAGTGCCTCTCTCTCCACAGACTCAGATCATCACTGCCTGCTGCCACAGGATGGAAACAGACTGAAAACACAGAGTACAGCTCCAAGATGGAATCGGCACCAACAAAGACAGTAACTCAGAAGCAAAAAGACACCATGGAAAGGACCAAAAGCCAGGTCTCCCAAGAAACACTAAGAAAAACAAAAACGTTACAAGTTCTATACAAGTTCTAGCCAGATGTTGGTGGCTCACGCCTTTAATCTCAGCACTCGGGAGGCAGAGGCAGGTGGATCTCTATGAGTTTGAACAGAGCAAGTTCCAGGACAGCCTCCAAAGCCACACAGAGAAACACTGTGTCAAAACAAACAAACAAACAAAGAAGCTTTTCAGCTTCTAAAGCTGAAGTCTTCACAAAGCGGAAAACCCCAGCGGCCAATGCACATGAGCCAAGGCTCTGTTATGAGCAATCAAGGAAAACACAAACGTCCAACCCTAGCTTGTGGAGTGAGCTAAATTCTGTATGTCAAAGTCAAGACTGGTCACTGCTGGCAGGGGTGCAGGCACCTGGGGACATGACACGCACGCACGCACGCACGCACGCACGCACGCACGCACGCATGGGAGAAGAAACGCGGCCTAAATCACCATGCCAAGTTCCACAAGCAGGGTCAAGCGATATTCACAGGAGTGAGCCATCAAAAGGGGGAGGAATTATCATAAAAGTCATCAGTGATGACCTCGAGGGACAGGGACAAAGAGGCAACCGGAGAAGGGCACCGCAATGCTCTAGCTCTTAACCTGGGCGGTGGGTACATGACGTTGACTCCACACCCTGCGCGGTGACACAGACTGTGCCGTGTCCCGGGGGGAGGGGGCACTCACCAGCGCCTCCTCGTAGGGCTTGTATTTCTCCAGCTGTTCCAGGGCCTTCTGATAGCTCTGAAGTACCGACTCTGGGATGGGGTCTTCTGACCATTCTTCATACTCTGCCAAGGTGGCCTCCATATCTGCGGAGAGATGGGATCAGCCCATCCCGTATCTGCGGCCACAACAGTTCTCACCGCTCAGATTCCCAGCTCTGTGGAGCCCACACTTGGCCTCAGGACATCACAAACCAACAGGCCAGACAACCCTACAGACCTCTCCATCGCTGAACCCACGAGCAGGCACTGAGCAAGCACAGCAAGGCCCTGCAGGCCCGCCCACCTCCCCGGCTGTGCTCTACTGTGACCCTCACTCAGTGCAGCCCCAGGGGCCACCAAGTGGGAGGGGACCAAGGGGCTCAGCAGCTACCCCAAGGCTCTGAGCAAGGCCTGCTGCGGGACAGGACAGTGCCAACCCCACACAGGACAAGCGCCCCCACCCCCACTGCCGAAGCCCTGCCAAAATGGCACATAAAATGGCCACAGCAGAAACTGAACCGTGAATGCCTAGAACCAGCTCCTCAGCCAATCACTGCGCAGGTGACACAAAGGCCCTGGCATGCAGACAGACCAGCAGCGGGACAGGAGACGGGCGCTGTGTCCGTGTCCCCTCTTCCAACTGTCTTAGAAGTAGGAAGACATGCCGCGGAGCGCCGGGAAACAGGGTCTCCCTGCCTTTGCCCCTCCTAAGCCTTAGCTCGGACAGCTCCTGACAGACTCTTGCAGTCAGGGGAGCGGCTGTCGTGCGTGCCCTGCAGGGCACCGGGGAAGGGTGGCACCAGCAGAGCGCAGAGGGCTGGCTTCTTACCGTAGAGTGGGATTGCCAGCTGTCGCCGGAAGAGGCTGTGAACTTTCTCCTGCTGTGAATCAAAGGTTTGTTCCCGGTCAGAAGGGGAAGAAAGGAAGGCGGCTATGGGCTAAAGAAGCAAATCGTAGTAAAGGACAAGGGTTGGTTCCTTCTACTTCAGAAAAACATTCCGAACTGAAAGACAAGTCTGGGATGTCTTACACAGGAGATGTCATCTACACTGCTGCCTCCAGGGGCCTCTAGGGGCTGTGGCAAGAGGAACACACAGGACCCGGGGCCAGTGAGATGGCTCAGCGGGCACAGGGTGCTTGCCACCAAGCCTGACAACCTGAGTTCAATCCCTAGGTGGACAAGGTAGGAGAGCTCCCACAGGTTGTCCTGTGGTCACCACACGAGCTGTGGCACACATATACCACACATACACATAATAAAATGCAACAAAAAATTTTAAATAAAAACCTTTTTCACAAAGAAAAAATCCAAATAGCTGCAAGGTACAGAGCCTAAGTATCACAAAGCAAAGCACTTAATTAAGGGCCACAGCCGTGGGGACCTGCTGCTGTCGCGGAGGGAAGGCTGGCAGGGGGCAGATGCAGTGACTCCAGGAGGGACACTGTGGTGCGGAGCCAGCCTGGGCTGTCAGAACAGAGGGGACAGACACTGCAGAGCACAGGCTCTGGCTTCATTCTGGGCTCACTGTCACTGACCCTCTACAGACTGAGGAGGAGACTAGGAAGCCACTGAGGCCACTCGACTCACACAGCGTGAGCCTGGCCCAGAAAGGTTTCACTTATCGTATCTTTCCAGATTTTAGAATAGCTGCATAAACAAATGAGATGCCTAGCCTCGCATGCAGGAGCCCAGTCTCAGCAGGGGTGAATGCCTGTGCACCAACCGGGTCACTTTACACAGGCTTTTTCTAAGCCCTGACGCGCTATCTCAAGGGCTCACAAGCTACATTTCCCAGCTGGAGTCAGCGCTCACAAGATTTGGAAGGTGAGGCGTTCTGGAGTTCTGATATCCAGATTAGAGATGCGAGACCTGAGGTGATCCATCAGGCTCCAATCGTTAACACAGAGGGTCAGGTCACACAGAGGACAGCTGTCTACGCATCTGTCTGAAGCCTCCCTTCGGTCACAGTGAACATGATACAAAGATACACCCACAATATACATGCACCTCAACAGATACATAAACGTGCATACATGGCTGTTTTTGCATGTTTACCTACAACCACGCAACTAAGCAATAGTATTTTAACGTGTCAGGGAAGAAATAGTCAACTATGTCCAAGTCGAGGAAACCCCTCGCTCTGCCAGAAACAGCTGACTTGTGTGTTGCTGTCCATCCTGACAGACTGGCAAAGAGATGGGTTAACTGTTAGACTCTTGGATGTTTGTATCTAAATGATAACTCCGCAAGCGTGGGTCAGTGGCCTGGGCACTCACCCGAGCAGCTTCCACGATGACGCTCTCAAACTCTCGGTAAGCCTCCCAGATGGCCAGGCCTTTCGTCATGTGCAGGCCAACGGATGACAGGGCTCTTTCAAACACAGAACGAACCTTCTCCAGGCCTCCTTTCTGACCAATGCCACCAACCGAGTACTGGCCATATTCTAGCCAAATGTTCGGACCTAAAAAGGAGAAGCGAGCTGTGATTTCAGCTCCTAATGTGCCTCAATGTCACCCTAGTGAAATAAACACAAGCCCCGCCACAACATGCTCATTTGTGCAAGAGACCACCGCCAACAAGCACCCCAGGTTCCCACATGGCTCAACCCTCTAGAGTGTCCTTGTGTTCCTACTAAGCACAGTGCAGAGCTCTGACTGCACAGACTGCACAGCAATGACAGTGTGTAGCTAAGTTAAAACAGAAGGGGTAGAGCATAGAGCCATGCAAGGCCCTGGGTTTGCTCCCCAGCAGAGACAGAGACAGAGACAGGTGCGCGCGCGTGGGCATGTGTGTGTGTACGCGCACGCGTGCGTGTATGCATGTGTGTGTGTCACTCTGTGTGTGTGTTTCTGTGTGTATGTTTCTGTGTGTGTGTGAGTGCGTGTGTGACTGAAATGATAAATCTGAGTCACTTGCTAAAAAATTCAATCCTAGAGTTTTTCTTGCTAGCCCTACTCTTGCAAGTGTCCAGGCTAAAAGCAGTGACTCTGTTGTTACACATCCACTTCCTGTCTTGATTTGAGTTCTTCAGGACAGTGATGTCTTAGTGTCCAGATAATCTCCACTGGACACTAAGACATCACAAAGGAAATGGAAACCCAACTTCCTGGCATCACCTCACAATGCAGCCTAAGGCAGTAAAGATTTGGCACAACCAGCAGCCCAGGGCCCGGGCACTCACAGATGTAGTCCTTCACGGCTCTCTCGAAGAGCTCGTACACGTGTTCACGGTCCAGGCCGTCCATGGCCATGCTGATCTCATCGTGCAGCCACTGCAGCCAGAGCTCTAGAGATGACAGCACCCCTCAGCACACGCCTCCACATGCTCCCCAGGCTCCCAGAGGCCCAGTTCTTAGAGCCCAAGCAGGGCAGGCTGTGAGCTTCCAGACACGGGGCCACTGAAGCCAGCCGTCACGTGCCATTCCCTACTTGGTAAAGCACCCGCACACTCCCCCACCCAATCTTTATGTCAGCCTTGTAAGACACTAAGAGAGGTAACTTGTATCTGACGACTTAGAGCCATCGGCTCCCGGCACGCCTGTCCCCGGGATGGATGCTGCCCTGCATGGACCAGGCAGGAGCTGCTGCTACCCCTGGCTGACGGGGGAAACTGAGTCCACTGTTTCCACAATCTGCTCAGTCTGCTAGTGGGAAGCCTCGCCAGGCACGTGCAGTGTGGTCTCTCAGCAGCTTCACCTGAGCTGTGCTGAGTGGGAGACGGGAAGAGATGCCCAAGGCCAGGGGATCTGGCTGAAAGGCCGGTTGCAAATATGAAGCAAGACCCAGGCAGCCACAGAGCCGCCAACTACAAGTATGTTTCCCAGAGGCAAATGCGAGGAAGTAAACAAAATGTATAATCACTGTCCCAAAATGAAACATCCGCATTTAAAACCACTTCAGTTTAGAGGCTGGAGAGCCGGCTCAGTGCTTAAGAGCATTGAGCGCTCTCCCACAGGACCCAGGTTTGATTCCCAGCACCCACAGAGTGAGTGGCTCACAACTGTCCAGAGCTCCAGTCCCAGGGCGTCCGGGCCCCTCTTCTGGCCACCTGGTACACATGATACGTGCAGGCAAAGCGCCCACGCACATAAAGATTTTAAAGAGATTTAAAACTGTAAATGTTACCTGAATTCACAATTCCATGGCACTATGAGCTTAGTCTAAGTACACATTTGTGGGACAGGAAAGAGACCTCAGTGAAGTTAAATTACGTTAAAAATGTTTCTCAGTGTTCCACATGCGAATCTACACGCCCAGACCACGTTCTGCAGCACAGTCTAAGACGATGAAGACAGAAGCAGCCGGCTCCCTTTACCCCTTTACCTCCTTCGTCTCAGCTCTCCACGCCGGCAGCCCCCCCCACAGCCCCCCCACCACTCTCCCTCCCCCCACAGCCCCCCGCAGCGCCCTCCCTCCCCCCCACAGCCCCCCACAGCGCCCTCCCTCCCCCCCACAGCCCCCCACAGCGCCCTCCCTCCCCCCACAGCCCCCCACAGCGCCCTCCCTCCCCCCCACAGCCCCCCCACAGCGCCCTCCCTCCCCCCCACAGCCCCCCGCAGCGCCCCCTCCCTCCCCCCCACAGCCCCCCACAGCGCCCCTCCCTCCCCCCACAGCCCCCCACAGCGCCCTCCCTCCCCCCACAGCCCCCCGCCAGCGCCCTCCCTCCCCCCACAGCCCCCCGCAGCGCCCCTCCCTCCCCCCCACAGCCCCCCACAGCGCCCGCAGCCCCCTCCCTCCCCCCCCACAGCGCCCCCTACCTTCCGTCAAGGGGAAGAGCTCGCTCATCTTCTGGCGGGCCAGCCTCACTTTGCTGAGCTCCCCCTCCTGACGCAGCAGCCTGATGAGCTCCACGTGACAGTTGTAGTCATAGCCGTTGATGGACAGCTAAGAGAGGAGTTCACATGTGTCATCTCTGGCAACGACAGACACGTCTGCCCCCAAACAGACCCGGTGTCACCCTGAGAGGTCACCGAGTGAGCCACCCACAGAGCGGAGGCACAGCCACTCTCCAGAAGTGAGAGGTGTTCCCATCCTAACAGGAAGCTCCCGCCCCTTGGCCCTCTCTCCTGGGACAGAGAGAGCCATCCTTAGGAAGTCTCCAGTGTCCTCCACCCACAGAGCGGGGGCACAGCCACTCTCCAGGCCAGGTGTGCCCTGCGGATTCTTCCACTTTACTGAACAAGTACAACAGGGTTTCTCTGTGTAGCTCTGGCTGTCCTGGAACTTACATATTGACCAGACTGGTCTTGAACTCACAGGGATCCTCCTGCCTCTGCCTCTGAAGTGCTGGGACTAAGGGTGTGCGCCACCACTGCCAGGTCTGGGCTGAGTCTTAGCTGACACTGCCAAGTTCACAGTTCTTTCGTTGTTTTTATTTTTAATATTTTCTTTAATTGCGCATCTATGGGGGTACGTGACCTAAGAGGCCACCCAGCTGGTTACAGGTGGTTGTGAGCCACCTGACCTGTGTGCTGGGAACCAAGCTCTGGTCCCCGCTCTTCCCCACTGAGCCATCTGTCCGGGCTCATGTGACTGGCTTTTGAGAAGGCTGAGAAGGGCTGGTGCAGTCTGGGTGTCCCTGGCCACCGGCCCCCTGCTCTGCTGTCACTGGAGACCCCGCAATGAGCTGCGCTTGGTGTGGCCCTGCCGTCTGCCTGCCTTCTGTCCAGGTCTATAAAGGCTCGTTTTTTACACTCGAAGCTTTCCAAAGCTGGAAGTGTTTTTAACTCTTACACATCCACACGAAGGATGAGTTTAAGGACAGCACTAGTGGCCCTGCCCTGAAGATGTAGGAACAGGGACACAGGTGAGCACACAGCCGTCCCCTCGGGGCTCTAAGTCGGGGAAGGAAGAAACAATTCAGTCCATCTGACCCGAGACGGCCGTTTCGAGGGGGTGGGAAGGGGAGACGCCTAACTCAAGCAGCACAGCCTTGAGCTAAATCATAAATCAGATCGGGGAAGGCATCCACACAGGCACCACTAGAGTCGGGCACAACCCCAGCACCACAGCGGCAGGCGTGGGAAGACTGAGTTCATGGCCAGCCCTGGCTGCTTTGAGAAAATTACCGCTCAGCTGTGATAGTGCATGACTTTAACCCCGGTACTCAGGCAGAGGCAGGCAAATCTGTGAGTCTGAGGACGGCCTGGTCGACAAAGCCAGTTCTAGGTCAGCTGTGTCTACATAAGAAAACCTATCTCAAAAAAGGAAAAGGAAAAAAAAGTTAAGAAAGAAAAAAACTAGACAAACACTTTCCTGAGGACATACGGACAGCAAACAGGACAGAAAGCGTTCAACACTATCGGCCAGCGAGGACAGTGTCATTCCACAGCAAGGCTGACAGAAGAGACACCATCAGAGGTTTGCTGGCAAAGATGCCTGGACCACGCCCACCTCCACGAGCTGTACACAGACAACACCTGCAGACAACACCTGTGCTCTAAGCACCCAGCACTCACTCAGCCTCCACACCCGCCAGCACTCTGTCCGTTTCCCAAAGAATGAGAGACAACAGTGCCCCTGCGCCCCTGCGCGCCCGTCTGCGCCCCTGCGCTCATGCAGCTCCCTCCAGGCCCCAACCAACTGCAAACAGCCTTGTCCTTCCGGTACAAGGCTAAGCCTGGGTGAATACCCACATCCTGCCACTGCCCGGCACAGGGAAGGAAAGGAACAATGCATACCGTGCCCAGCCCATTCTCGAAGTGGAAAGACGGTTTTGAGGCAGAAAAACTAATCAGTGTGATTTTCCACTTAGCAGATAAAGGTGAACACAGTGATGCAGAAAGGCATCTGATAAAACCAACCAGTCATGACTTATTAGCAAAGCAAGAACAGAAAGACACAGCCTACCATATGAGCCTGCCCCCTAGTGAACCCTGATGGACATACACCCAGAGCCTTCTAAACCCTGAGATGACCACGAGCATCTTCTGGTCAAACATGTAGTTGGGACAAAAGGGGAGGAAAAAAGACTGCACAGTAAACCGGGATTAACTAACATACAAACCCTCAGAAAGAATGAGCAAGGTTAGACTGCAAGGCACCCAAACCTGAAGGAGTTAAACTCACACAGAGAGAGGCTGAAGGGCGTCCTGGGCCCGGCCCGGGGAGAGAGAAGGGGCAGGCGTCTGCAACACTCGCCAGGCCAAAGCGTATGCGCCCATGTGTGCTACATCCCTGGGTTCCAGACCGGCTATGGCGAACACATTTAATACAGACAGAGGCAGAAGGAACTCTGTGAGTTCCAGGACACCCAAGGCTATTTTAGACACCCTAACTCAAAAGGGGGGATTAAAAAAAAAAAAAAAAAAAAAGTAGTCAGGCATGGTGGCGTACACCTTTGATCCCAGGGCTTGAGAGGCAGAGGTAGGCACGTCTCTGTGAGTTCAAAGCCAGACTGGTTTACAAAGTCAGGTCCCAGACAGCCAAGACTGTTACACAGAGAAACCCTGCCTTACACACACACACACACAAACACACACAAACACACGAGAGAGAGAGAGAGAGAGAGAGAGAGAGAGAGAGAGAGAGAGAGAGAGGAGACTTTGTGTTAGGTAACAAACACCAGCACTGACAATTACCTAGAGTAAAGTAAGTTTTCCTCCGACTGTCGGACAATTACACCACTTGGTTTTAAGAGTGGCAGTCCTGGGCCGGAGAGATGGCTCAGAAGGTAAAGGCACCTGCCGCCAAACCTGATGAGCAGCACTCTATCTCGGGAACCCACCTGGTTAAGTGCGTGCATAGGAACACAAATTCAAAGTATAAAAAAAGAGTCGACGGTCCTGGGTTCGGCTTAAACACAGGAAACACTCCTAGTGAAGTGTTTGTCACCTGGGCAAGAGCGCCAACAACAGCGAGCCTCAGTTTCCCACGGTGAGAGCGGGAGGAAGGGTTCGTTAGCAAAACACAGGGCACGCAGAGCCGGGGACGCAGCTCGGAGGCTTGGTGATGGGAGATGGTGGTGATGGGGGTGAGGGTGATGGTGGTGATGGTGATGATGGTGATGGTGGTGATGGTGATGATGGGTGATGGTGGTGATGGTGATGGTGATGGTGGTGATGGTGATGATGGGTGATGGTGGTGATGGTGGTGATGGTGGTGATGGTGGTGATGGTGATGATGGTGGTGATGGTGGTGATGGTGATGGTGATGGTGGCTGGTGATGATGGGCGATGAAGGCCACGGCCAGGGCGACCTCCGAGGGGGCGGGCCAGGCCTGGGGACCCAAGGGAAGGAGCCCGCTGCCCACCTGCTCCTCCAGCCGCTCGATCTCCAGCTGGTTTTTCTCCTCCTCCTCGTCGTACTCCCAGTCGTCCTCGCCGGGGGAGCTCTCGGCGGAGGAGGCCATGGCGTCCTCCTCGTCCCCGTCACTCTCGCTCACGCCTTCCCGCTGCAGCTCCCAGCCCGGGCCCTTGGCGTCGTCCGCGCCGGCGGCCTTCGCCCCATCCTCCCCTCCCTCGGCCTCCAGCCCCGCCTGGGGCTCAGCCTCCGGCTCGGACGCAGAGGATGCGGCCGCGGTCGCCATCTTGCGCAGCCTGCGGCTCTCGGGTCTTCCGTCGCCCGCCCAAGCCCGGCGAACATCGGGCTGTCCGCGGCGTGCGCCTGATCCGAACCCCGCCCCGTCACCGCCCGGAGCGGCACGGGGGGCGTCGGGAGCCGGGAAAGCCGTAAGACACCCGCCGCGGGTATTCCTGAGCGTCCTTAAAGAAGCCACTGCCGGGAAGAAAGACTCTTTAGCAATGCGCGGGTTCCGTTACGACCCTGGGCAGCTGTTGGGTCCTCGAGGCGGAAGTGGCGGCCACCAGCGGAAGTCGTGCGAGCGTGGTGTCAGTAGTTAGGGTCGAGCCGCCATCTTAAGAAGGTCAAAGCCACTCTCGGCCCGCTCCGGCGCGTGCTGGTTTCCCAGCAACCGGGCCTCGGGTGCGGACAAAACCCGGATCCCTGGGCGACCGGGAACCCTTGTCTCCCGCAGAATGAAGCGTCCGCCTAGGGGTTAACCCCGCGGGCTTCGTGGGCGTGATAGGCTCAGAGCCAGCACCGTTTGCACGCTGCGGCAAGTGCTGCCTGGGGACGCCGTGCACTGTCGCAGGCGGAATGACTTGCACGCGGGTGGGTGGAGGCACGGCGTCCGCCTTTCTCCTTCACCGGCGCGGTGACCCCCGGGGCGCACTCGGCGTGCCCGTGCTCGGGGTGCAAGGAAGGGCTGCGCTTGCACCGCTTGCACGGCTCCCTGAGCCTCGCAGCCGGGCGCCGCTTCGGACCTTCCCGCCCCTGCGCCCGCCACGCCCCTTCCGGGGGCGTGCGCGGTGACGTCAGCCGAGCGCGCCCCAGCCTTGACGTCGCCGAGGTCGGCGCAGGCGCAGAGCCGGCGTGATGGCGGCGGTCGGAGCGGGCCGTCTGCGGAGGGCGGCGTCCGCGCTGCTGCTGCGGAGCCCGCGCCTGCCGGCCCGGGAGCTGTCGGCCCCAGCGCGGCTCTATCACAAAAAGGTACGGGCGGGCGGGCGGGCGGGCGAGACACAAGCGAAAACCGCGGGGGCGGGGGCGGGGGCGGGCGACGCGGTCCGCCACCCCCGGCTGCGCAGCGACCCGGCCTGCAGCCGTTGCCCGGATGAGCGCCGCCGCTTGCAGTGTCCCGACCCGGACAGCCCGGAAGGCAGGGTCCCGGTATGTCATGCCGGGGGTCGGGACGGCGCGGGCACAGACAGACACACACAGAGACACAGACAGACACAGACAGACAGACACACACAGAGACAGACAGACACACACAGAGACAGACAGACACACACAGAGACAGACAGACAGACACACACAGAGACAGACAGACACACAGACAGACACACACAGAGACAGACAGACACACACAGAGACACACAGACAGACACACAGACACACACAGAGACAGACACACACAGAGACAGACACGCACAGAGACACACAGAGACACAGACAGACAGACACGCACAGAGACACAGACACAGACAGACAGACACACACACACAGAGACAGACAGACACACAGACACGCACAGAGACACAGACACAGACAGACAGACACGCACAGAGACACAGACACACAGACAGACACACACAGAGACAGAGACAGACACACAGACACACACACAGACACACACAGAGACAGACAGACAGACACACACCACACCGTGTGCGGAGCGCTCGGTCCAACAAGTGGAAACCCGCTTCCGGCCATGTTGCTCTTTTAGGAGCTGATAAGCAGCCAGCCAGCGTTCTTGTTTGTGTACTTTCAGGGAGCACAAAGTACAGAAGGGTAGGTAGCGTGTGGGCCCCTGCCTTCCAAGGTGAAGGCCCCCTTGACTCGGAAAAACAAAAGACTACCGCAGCTGGACAAGACTGCAAAAGTCCCGACCAGATGATGCCTTGCGGGGCCTTAGGGCTTAGACTCAGAATCTGCGTTGCGGATGAGGGTGCCTCCTGCTAACTAGCCAAAAAAAAAAAAAAAAAAAAAAAAGGAGGTTTATTACATCTTAATATGTCCCCGACGTTAATGGCTGCCTGTTCTCTTGCTTGCATGCTTTTGCCAAAGGGGAGGGTGTTTTGTTTACATTCGTATCCACAGGAGTCTGGGCGGGCTGGTAGCCTTACGGCACCAGGGGGCGCTCCAGCACCGGGGTGGCGCTGTGTTTATGTTTACAGTCACAAATGGCTCTGTCCTGGCGACCTTGGCTCATCTGAAACACTCACCTTGAAGCTTATGAGGAAGTCTTCCATTTGGGGGCATTTATACCCTTGGAGTTTTATAATGCATAATTCCCTTACGACTGTATTTTGGTTTAAAAAATCAAGAAAGCGGTGTTTGAGGCCAAATCCCGTGTACCTGTGTAAGTCACATGATTATGCTGTGAAATCAGGTGTCCCTGTGTAAATCACGGGATTAAGTTGTGATTGAAATCCCTGTGAAACTAAGATGTAACCTGAGTTTCTTGACAATATCTCGGGCAGCATCTCCACGATGAAGGTCGATGGGAAGAGTGCGGCATACATTGCTGTCCCCTCCCACCTCTGTCCCGCTCAGATTGCTGACCCCGAGGGAGATGGTGAACCCATGGTGCAATCTGTTAATCTGTCGTTTCAGGTTGTAGATCATTATGAGAATCCTAGGAACGTGGGGTCCCTTGACAAAACATCCAAAAACGTTGGGACCGGATTGGTGGGTGCTCCGGCGTGTGGTGACGTCATGAAATTGCAGGTACTGGCTGGATGGAAGCAATCACCGGTAGCATACCCTCTCGTCTGTCCGTTCTGTGAGACCGGATGGTGAGGGTAGGGACTCGTCTTGTTCTGAAACAGATGAGTTCATTTTCCTCTTCCCTACATCAGTGTAGACCTTGCTGTCAGTGCGTGAAAGGCTTTGTAAATGTTACTGACCAATTGAAGACTCCAAAGGAGCTAGCACTGGCCAGTGAGGAAAGGATTGTGCGAACCAAGCCGCTCCAGGAGGAGGAAGGGGCGGGGCGTGTTACCTAAGTGAGCCGCAGCAAGGAGCCACTAATATAGTCCTGTCCAAGACATTAATGGGGACCTGGATGGCAGGCTCTCCTGGTGCCTAAGGAGGCGATAGTGGCAGCGGCTGTCACCAGACTTCTGCAAATAGGAATTCGTGTACAGCAGGCTAGGGTTGAAGACAGTGGACGAGGGGCGTGGTTCCCTGCTCCTCTCCCCACCAGCTGGCCTGCGTAGACCCAGGGTCACTGTCAGCGGCTGAGCTCTCTCAAACAAAACATGGCAATCAGTGCCATGGCGACTGGTGTGGACAGCAAGCCAGGGCTCCTTCGTAACGCACACTGGGCCGGAAGTTCCAGGCTCTTGCATTCTATATGCAGATCCAGGGATCTCCCCTAAGCGCCGGTTTCTTTTCTAGATCCAGGTGGATGAAAAGGGAAAGATTGTGGATGCCAGATTCAAAACGTTCGGCTGCGGCTCTGCCATCGCCTCCAGCTCTCTTGCCACGGAGTGGGTGAAGGGAAAAACGGTAAGAGAGGTCACAGATGGTAAAGAAATATTTAATCCCCACGCTCGGAAGGCAGAAGCAGGAGGACCTCCGAATCCTAGGCCAGCCTTGTGCACATAATGAGACCTATTTTGAAATACTTAAGAATTACATCAGAATTCCCTGCGACCCTGGCTCTGGAAGGGTCTAGTCCTAAGTCACAAAGCGAAAGAACGGGAAGATAAAGGTGGAGAGTTGAAAGCCAGCCTGGGAAAGGCAGCAGGACCCTGCTCAGGGAGGAAAAAAAATGATGCCCGTGATTTCTTGAAGCCATTTTTCTAAAGTTTAATACTGGTTGCATTCCTCACATTGGGAGTTGTGAGCCGTTTTGCTGCTTGAGGCTTTTTTAAATTACTGTTATTTGGTTATCAGCTAAATAGACAGGGTCATCACCAGCACCTCTGTCTGAACAGAACTGAAAAGAAACCACCGTGGTCTCCCCTAAGGGTTCCTGGGAGTTGCCGTGTGATAGTAACTGCTTGTTTCCTGCTTCGAGTAGGGTCCCGGAAGGGCGCAGTCAGACACTGGTAGAAGAAGTAGCTTGTGTTGGGGGGTGTAGAAGTCGAAATCACAAGGGTGAGAGCCGAGTAAGCAGACTGAGGGAGCGGTGGTCCGGGTGGCCGGCCAGGAACCTGTGAAAGGAGTCAGGAAAGGTCTGTAAGGACTTTCCTGTGCTCTTCCCTACCGGTGCTCTCCCCAGCAGCCAAGCTAAGACTGCTAAGATTCCACCGCGTCAAAACCACCCACACTCGCTGGGTGTGGTGGTACATGGCACACCGGCCTGAAACCTGCTCCTAGGAGGAAGAGGCAGGATAGGACAGGAAGGTCTTCCTCAGCTACATAGCAGTTTAAACATCACCCTGCCCTGCGTGAGACCCCATTTTAAAGCAGTGTGCTCATCCCTTGTACCCTCGCAGGACCCTGTTCAGGAAGCTGCGGCATGAGGGTGCGTCTGTTGCTAACCAGCTCACCAGCAGAGCCGTTGGCTAGCCTCAGGTCCTAGAGCTCAGGGGGGGGCCCGGGCCTGCTTGTTGGGGAAGAAAATGGCTCAGAGGAAGTAGGCTAAGAACTAGCTCCCAGGACCTGGCGTTTCGAGGGCTCTGAGCTGTGGTCAGAAAGCAGGGGCGCTCTAATCTGGAGGTCTCTTGTCTGGCGGAGACTGGCTTTCCTCGATGCTCAGGCCATGTCCCCTGCCTCCCATCATCCCTCAGAGCTCTCGGAGCCCAGGCATCCTCAGGCAGAGGCTGCAGAAGCGGCCTAGGCAATGGCCACCTTCCGTGGGCAGGGGTCTTGTTCTTGCTTATCCAGCCAGGCAGCGCGGGTGTGTGTGTCTCCATGGAGACCCCTGGTACACAGTGGCAGCCCTGCCCAGTAGTTGTTTTGAAGTCCTAAGCAGGAGCTATCCCTGACAGCCCATCCTGCTGTGTGCTCTGGCCTTCAGCTTTCATTGCTGACCCTTGGGAAGATAAAGCTCACTAAAACCCCCTCTCCCCCGCACCTCAGGTGGAGGAAGCCTTGACTATCAAAAACACAGACATCGCCAAGGAGCTCTGCCTTCCGCCCGTGAAACTGCACTGCTCCAGTGAGTCCTCCCCAAATGCCAGGCGCTGAGACGCTTGACAGTCATAACCCTGTTAGTAGCCACCTGGGCCCCAGAGAACATTGCCGGTAACCTTTGGGAGATTGGAGCCTGTGGTCTCCCGGCCCAGAGCTCTAGGAAGTCAGGCTAGGAGGCCTGTGGCCTGGAGCCACCCTGAGCACCCAGAAACAGCCCAGCTGGTGGCTTTACCCCCCTCAGAAATGAGGGAGTGAGGCGGGCGGAGGGCGGGCGGAGGGACAGAGGTGAGCCCAGGTCTTGGTTCCGAATTGCTGTTCCTACTACACTGTGGTGGACAGGCTGGGCAAGGGACAGCTCTCTCCACCACACGGTCACTGCATTTCCTCAGGTGAGGCCATTGTGTAATAACACTCCCTGCATTGCCCTGAGAGAGGCCATGTGCCTCAGAACCTTCAACTCTGCCGCCTTCCATCCTCTTCCGTGTCCCAGAAAGCATGCTGTGAGGGTTTGCAGATCCAGTGGGTTCCGATGCATCAGAGGGAGATGGTGCGCCATCTTCAGGGCCCTTTGAGTAGAACCCCCCTGAGATCACACTTTCTACTTTACCGTTTGGCAGTTGTGGGAGAGCCTCGCCCTTTAGCCTTCCAGGCTCTGAGGCCGTAGCTCATCCCTGTGGGTCGTTAGCTTTGCAGCCTCCCAGTGCCGGGCTGCGGGAGGAGGTGTGCGGACCATGCCTGTAGAGCTCCTGGCTTAAGACTGAGCTCTGCCCGCACCTGTGACCAACCGTCCACACTCTCTGGGACCTACCTGATCTTTGTTGTGTCCCTGCCAGGTGACAGACACTTTCTGGAAATCCCCTCACTTCCCTAGCTCTAGCACCCTCCAGCTTAAAGATTCTCTTCCTTAAGACCACCTCCCAGGCCAGGGAGACAGACGGCCCCGGGCAAGGCTTGTCACAAGCCTGAGCTAGAGTCCCTAAACCCACTCCCCAAAATTGTCCTCTGACCTCCACATGAGCACGGCACATGCACCCACACACATGTACAAACACACGCATATATACTCCAAATACGTGTTTATAAAACTATATGAACATGCAAAGATGTGTAAGTGTATAAATTCATAAACACCACCTCTCCAGTGTCTAGAAATGAAGCTGTCTACCCTTCCATGCCTTCTAGTGCTGGCGGAAGACGCCATCAAGGCCGCCCTAGCTGATTACAAACTGAAACAAGAATCCAAGAAGGGAGAGCCGGAGAAGCAGTGAGCCCTGGAGAAGCCCAGGCGGCCACGGCCACGGCAGCTGCCTCTGCCACCCTGCGCCACATCAAAGCTACAAAACGCACACGTTCGCCATTGCCATTGTGATTCTAGTGCAGGCAGATACACTGTTTGATTACGCCTAGTTCCTTTCAGCTCACTCCCGTCCTTAGTGCAGTTAACGTCTGATCTGATTTATGTGTGTCGTGGGAGCTGAAGTCAGCACCGAAGTCTTAAGCTTTGGTGGCCTTCGGAGAGTGACAGCAAGTTTTACCTAACCCTGTGGGGGGGAGGTTGCCAGCAGGATGCCTTGTAGTTATTTGATAGAATTTATTACTGTATATTTAACAGATCTGCATATATATATATATTATAATAAAAGAATGTAAGATGATGGATTCTCCAGTGAACCTGTCTCTTGAATCCTTCACTCACCGCCCCCTCCCCCAGTCTACCCAAAGCCCATTAGGCGTCCCCAAGGCCAGACTGAGATGGATAACAGCACGCACACCAGAGTGCTTGGCCTCTTGGGTGCTCTTGAGAGGGGAGAGGAGATGTCTGCTGCTCCTCACTTCCCTTTGGGTCCATTCACAACAGCTTCGAGGGCCCCAGCAGTAATTCCACTGCTCTGTGAAAGTCAGAGATTAACCCAGAAGCTGACGGAGGTGTTGCCTAACTATGGGCCAAGCAGAAGAGCCTCAGGGTGAGCTTAAACTATTGTCTAGGCCCGGGCACAGGCTTTCTGGCAGAAGGTCCTGCTAGCCTTCCAGAGGCCTCGCAGGCTGTGTGTGGTGAGGAGTGAGCAGAACCAGAGTGAGGACCCTGGTTCTCTGCCAGTAAGTGTGCACTTCCCGTGTTTGACTGAAGAGTGCGCACTGCACTAGCCCCCAGCATGTTCAATGCAGGCTGTCACTGCTCATGGTGGCCTGTAAACCCAGGCACCCAGCGGCCAAGGGGGAAGCCTGGCCTACTCAGACCATGTCCCCAAACGCAGTCTGACTCAGGCGTGGCTAGCAGCCACCCCTGCCCTGAGCTACCCAGTGGGGTAACCTAGTGAAATGCCCTATTTTCCAGCGAAGACACTGGGACACTCATGAACTTGAACAGCAAACTGATTCTGATGGGGCTTTGTTGCACAGGCATCTGTTTGCAGGCAGACTCTTAAATCGTCCTTTAGTTTACAATAGTCTGATTCTGGTGAAGGGCTCAGAACCTCAAAGGCCACTCCCTCCACAGTTGGAGGAGACCACAGGCCAGAGTCCATCAGAATCTCAAATTAGGCCCTGGGTGGGGCCGTGTCAGATCATCCTGCAGGGCGTATCTTGCTGTGTAATTCGGTCCCTCCCTCGCTGGTGGCAGTGGCATAGGTCCCCACCCCTGTGTGTGATTTTAAAACCAAGGCTCTTCTGCCCAGTTGGCATCAGCGTTCCAGCCCAGCCCCAAGAGTGGGAGCCGAAACAGGCCTGATCTCTAGCACTCGCTGTAAAGCCACCCCCTCTGCAGGCAGATCGACTTTGGGCCCCAAGTCCCCATCACCGAGCCTAAGTGAGGGAGGGGTTTTGTCGCAGTCCAACCCTGAAGTAGCTCTTCCATGCCGTGTCTGCTATTTGGAGGGTTTTGGTTTTTAGTTTGTTTTTGCCTCCAAATCCTCCTGCCTCAGCCGCCCAGGTGTGTGATTACAGGCGCGAACCTTGGGTATGTCATAGGATCGCCCTTGGACGACAAGGAGAATCCCTGAAGCCCCTTGACTTTGACCCGCTTGCCCTGGCAGCCTCTGGGGAACTGGACTTGTAAACAGCTCAGCAGCAGCTGGCCCTGTGAGCTGCCCAGAGCCTACACCCCTTACCCTGCCTGTCCTGGCAGGTCCCTGTGACTCTAAGGACACCAGGGGCATCACCAGGAACCCCCCACGGACCACGTGGCTTGGGGTGACTCATCGCCCATGGGATTACCGCTGTATGGCCAGCCCTTCAGCCCCTCTGCAGACCAGGCGCTGCAGCTAGGAGCTCAGTGTAGAGGGGTCTGGAGTGCTAGGAACTTAAAAGAAAAAGAAAGAAAAAGTGAACTGACCCCTCCAGTCAGGAGTCAGCACAGGCAAGACCTTGGCTGCTACTGTTGTCACCGTGAACCCCGTCATCGTCATTTTTGCTGCTGCTCATAGGAGCTGCTGTCACCATAACAACCATTAACCATACCAGCCTTTTATAACAGTATGATCTCGAGGTTTCCTGCCTCGGTGTTGTTAGCCTGAAACTACACAGTATTCCAGGGTACCACAGGGCACCTCACAGAGCTCCAGGGTATCACACAGAACCTCACAGAACCTCACAGAGCTCCAGGGTACCACACAGAACCACACAGAGCTCCAGGGTATCACAGGGTACCACACAGAACCTCACAGAGCTCCAGGGTATCACACAGAACCTCACAGAGCTCCAGGGTACCACACGGAACTTCACAGAGCTCCAGGGTATCACAGGGTACCACACAGAACCTCACAGAGCTCCAGGGTATCACACGGAACCTCACAGAGCTCCAGGGTACCACACGGAACCTCACAGAGCTCCAGGGTACCACACGGAACCTCACAGAGCTCCAGGGTACCACACAGAACCTCACAGAGCTCCAGGGTATCACAGGGCACCTCACAGAGCTCCAGGGTATCACACAGAACCTCACAGAACCTCACAGAGCTCCAGGGTATCACACAGAACCTCACAGAGCTCCAGGGTACCACACAGAACCTCACAGAGCTCCAGGGTACCACACAGAACCACACAGAGCTCCAGGGTACCACACAGAACCTCACAGAACTCCAGGGTATCACAGGGTATCACACAGAACCTCACAGAGCTCCAGGGTACCACACAGAACCTCACAGAGCTCCAGGGTATCACACAGAACCTCACAGAACCTCACAGAGCTCCAGAGTACCACAGGGCACCTCACAGAGCTCCAGGGTATCACAGGGTACCACACAGAACCTCACAGAGCTCCAGGGTATCACAGGGTACCACACAGAACCTCACAGAGCTCCAGGGTACCACACGGAACCTCACAGAACTCCAGGGTACCACACGGAACCTCGCAGAACCTCACAGAGCTCCAGGGTATCACACAGAACCTCACAGAACCTCACAGAGCTCCAGGGTACCACACAGAACCTCACAGAGCTCCAGGGTACCACACAGAACCTCACAGAGCTCCAGGGTATCACAGGGTATCACACAGAACCTCACAGAGCTCCAGGGTACCACACAGAACCTCACAGAGCTCCAGGGTACCACACAGAACCTCACAGAGCTCCAGGGTATCACACAGAACCTCACAGAACCTCACAGAGCTCCAGAGTACCACAGGGCACCTCACAGAGCTCCAGGGTATCACAGGGTACCACACAGAACCTCACAGAGCTCCAGGGTACCACACGGTACCACGCAGAGCTCCAGGGTACCACACGGAACCTTGCAGAGCTCCAGGGTACCACACGGTCTTCCTACACAGATCCTCCCGGTGACATTCATGCATCAGCACACCAGTAGCTCCTGTCACACATGGCCTGACACGCAAATTCACTTCACCACAGTCAGCCTGCCACAGGGCTGAATAACCACCACCCAGCTGTCTTTGGAAAGCCATCTTAGACACCTCCACCCCTGGACCCGCTTCACAGAAACCTAACTCCCAAGAGTCCCCAAGGGGAGGAGACCCTCAACACCCTGGTGCAGAGTGGTTTCTGAACCCTCCCATGCTGCCCCTTGGCCTCAGGCTAATGGGTCACAGGAAACCTGGGTGAGGAAAATGGGCTGGACCACGCCCTGCCACAGTGCCCTACAGCCCTCCGCCCCGCCCCACAGCCTGGAAGCAGGACCATGGGACTTTTTAAGAACAACTTTGGAAGAAAATTCCAAAGGCCTGGCTTCTGATCCTAACTATGCCATCCATCATCTTTCTACAACAGATATGCAGCCATGACATGAGCCTCTTGTCCCTCACTGGGAGACTGGCACTACACTGGCTCCTAAGCTTCAAGGTTGTTGTGAGGCTTTATCCCACAACACCGGGCATCTAGCAAGCACTGGTATTAGGCACCAGCACCGTCACCATAGCCCACGCTGTCACAGCCACCAGCGCTGCCGGCACCATCTACACCAACTGCTCTCCTCACGCTGGACAGCAGATTGCCTTCCCTCAAACCCTCCGTAAAGACTCTCTGGAGAGTCCGGTGTGGCAATCACAGTTAAATAGTCCTGCAAACGAGAGCCCAATCCAAGAGGGGCGATGGACTTATAAGAAGGGGTCTCTCTCCACACTCAAAGAAAGGCCAGGTGAGGACAGAGGACATGGCTGTGCTCACGGAAGGGAATCTGGATCGTGGGCTTTCCCTCCTCTAGGGCTAGGAGAAAACTAGGGTCAGTTGTGAAAGGCACCTAGCCTGTGGTACTTTGTTAGGACAGACCAACACTAACACAGCTGCCACCACTACCATCACCATCATCACCCCTGTAGTAGTCAGGGTTTCTGTGATTAAACACCATGGCCAAAAGCAACTTGGGGAGCAAATGGTTGATTCGGTTTACACTTCCGGGTCACAGGTCACCACTGAGGTGAATCAGGGCAGGAACTCACTATGTGTAGTTGTACTTTTTCCTTGGGACCGCCAGCCCCAAAATAACAACACGGAGACGTTAATTACGAAGGCCTTAGCTTAGGCTTGTTCTTAACTCGTTCTTAGAGCTTAAACGAATCCATAATTTTTTAATCTGTTCTTTCGTGTGGCTCGTTACCCCATCTCTATATCGTCCATCTTGTTTCCTCGGCACCTGGCTGGCAACTCCCTGTTTCTTCTCCCCAGAGTTTTCTGCCTGAAAGTCCTGACTGTTCTCTCCTGTCTAGCTACTGGCCATTCGGCTTTTTATTACAGCAATACATTTTCACACGGTGTACAAGTATCCCACGACAACTATGTAGACCAGGCTGGCCCTAAACTCACAGAGCTCCACCTGCCTCTGCCTCCCGAGTGTGGGCCACCATGCCCTAGGGGCCAATCTTCCGGACACATTTTCTCAATTGTGGTTCCCTTTTCTCCGATAACTCTAGCTTGTGTCAAATTGGCAAGGAACAAACAAAAACTAACCATGACGATCACCATCACCACCATCATCGCCGTCTCACACCTCACCATAATTATCACCTTCACAGTCATTACCTTGACCTTCAAGGTCATCACCACCACTATCAACACAACCTCACCTTAATCATCACCACCGCCCCTGTGGTCAAGGCCACCATCATGACAGACCCTGCTCCTGCTCTCTCTCCCAAGGGTGCCACAAGCACCTGAGACTATTCCTGACCCATCCCTGCAGAAATCGGTAAGAATTCGGAGTT